TATATATATATAAACTGTTTTATGGAATTTCATATTTAAGCTTTTATATACACAAGTGCAAACCATTGTTATTTTAAAGTTACAAAACCATATTCGTTATAATAAAATCGTTGAAACTGCTGAATTCATTGTTAATTTATATTTTGATACTTGTTGATTCGACGTTATATAAATTTTTTATAGTTATGAAAAAATTCGACCCAGAGAAGGTTAATTAATTTTTGTTTTTGAATAAAAAAATTATATATTTTAATCTGAATTAAAAATAATATTTAAATAATTAAAAATAAAGCACAAACAAAAATGGATATGGGGGACTTGTACCTTATCGGTTTATTGATTTACACAAAATTTTTCTCATTTTTCCTAAATTTCAAATATAAGTATAACGAGTGTAAAACGAGTGTACTAATAATAAGTATTTTTCATTGGCAGAAATAGTGCACAATAAAGCTCAATGCACATTAAAGCTGTTGTCAGCACTATTCTAATCTAAATATAAAAGTGAGAGATATCTCAATTGATAAAATGCCCTATGTGCATTTTATCAAATAGCAAATAATAAAATGTATTGAATATTTCGCGGTTTAATTCATTTCTATATTTTTATTAAACGTACATCTTTATGTCGATTGGCTTTAATGTGCACTGAATGCGTACTAGTTCTGCAATGAAAAACGCTATAATTCAACTAAAAAAAATAAATTTATAATGTAATTGTTAAACTGATTATATGAGGATAGAATAGGGCTATTCCCTATCATTTTCAACCTTAAAATAATAAAAAATTTACGAACAAACAATATCTTTTTGCAGTAACATGCTTTATATATACCTTATACACTATATTACAATAACACAATATCTTACACATAGACGAAATAGTCTCGCTCTACCCTATATTTATTTTCTAACAAAGAGCCACGTCCCTCTTCGATCTTTTCTGAGTATCTTATTCTAACGTTTCTCCATCAAGAGGCCTTCCTTAATAGCACAGATCTCCACGAGATGTCCTGAGGACGTCCAGAGGATGTCCTTTGAACATCTTAAAGTCCTAGAATGTATCTCGGATAAAGTATGCTATTAGGGCTTATATCATCTTTAGTAACACAAAGTTTATGACGCTAAGAGGATTGCAATGGCAAGACAAAATGATAGCCAATGTAACTGTGTGCTCAAGTGTTACACTATATTAAAAAATTTCAAGGGAAAGTGTAAAATTTGTCAAGAAACTTTTGCAAATGAAGAGAAAAATTTTAAATATCATTTAATGCAGCATGAAAGTGCTGAAGAAATGCAACAGAAAATCACGCGAATGCAAAAAGCAACACAATTTAAAATTTAACGAATGTACGAAAGTACGCAATATTTGTAATAAAAGTTTGAATGAATTGAGAGTATTAATTAAGCATATGAAAGTAAAACATCCAGGAATTGCAGAAAGTATAAAAAATGATAGTAAATATAAATGTATAAAGCCATATTGCATATATTTAGAAGGATATAAAGCAAAATGTAAGTTTTGCAAGGAAATTTGTTCTGTTGCATCTTCACCAACAACATTTAAGAAACATTTAAAATGGAACATTCAAAGAAGATAACAGATATTGTAAAAAAAAAGCCAACGGTAATTGAATACGGCAATATATCAAATTAAAAGATTGTACAGCAAAATGTAATTCTTGTAGTCATGTTTACATATGACATATTTTGGGAAACAATAAAGTTAGAGAAACATTTAATCAATTACTATAATATAGATATAAGAACTGAAAAAAAAAATTAGAAAGACGAAAGAATTAGTAACTACAAAAGACATAGAAGATACAGCTTTTGATTGAAAATCATTTCATTCGTTAAAAGCCTGAAGGAAATGAAAAAAAAAATAGAACAAATAGAAGAAAAAAAATTGTAAGTAATTGTAAGTAAGTTTTACATATTAATGTTTCTCTTTGAGTCGTTCATATAATAAAAAAATTTTATGTACAATGAGCACACAAAAGATTAGATAATTGAGCATTTAATTATCATAGATATTAAACAAATTAAATATCAGTATTTAAAAATATTTATTAATAATATTAATAATAAATATTTACATTAAATATGACTGTATTTACTCAAATTTATATTAAAATTTAATAATTTAAAAATTTAATAATTTAAATTTATTTA